GATAAAAAACCATCCCTCGAGGGAAATTATCTAATGCTCCAAATGATAACAGGAGTCTATGTTCTTAGAACATTTCCATTTGACAAAACGATAAGTGGGAAAATATACAAGAAGTGTTTAAAAAACATATCCTAGCGCAGCAATGAACCTACTACTAATTGTTTCTTACTGTACTGATGTATGTGATTTTTTTTCATCAATTCAGAATGCTTCTGCTCACACAGGAAATTTTTTTTTTTTCTAGGAGAGAGAGAGAGAGACAGCATGAGCAGGGGAGGGTCAGAGAGAGAGGGAGTCACAGACTGAAACAGGCTCCAGGCTCTGAGCTGGCAGTCAGCACAGAGCCTGACGCAGGGCCCGAACCCACAAACCGCGAGATCATGACCTAAGGGAAAGTCGGACGCTTAACCGACTAAGCCACCCAGGCACCCCAGGAAATTTCTGAATATATATTAGGTCCTAGAGAAAATGTAAGTAGATCAATTGACATTAGATGGCAACTTGAATGTGGGTCTTGGAGTCACTTCTCAAGTTCCTAGACCCTTGTAACGTTTGCCACGGAAGCTACAAAAAGATCTTCAAGTTGAAAAACAGGTGGTCAGTATAAATTCGCTGTCACTCTGAGACAGATATTTAAACATTCCATGCTGTGTTTTCCCAAACAAGAGAAAAGTTGTAATGTTTTCCTATTTACATTGTGGTTAGCCAATGAAAGGGACCATCGTGTGTTACAATAAGGCAGTAAAGAAGTGAAAGACATCTACAGTTAAGGTGCAGAATGGACATTTCTAAAATTGCAATTTCCATATGAAGTTATAAAATGTTAAAAATGAAACAGCCCACAAAATCCTGTTGTTAAAAAATGAATAGTTTTAAAGTGTGCCTATGGTAGAGATTTCCAAATAAGATACTACAGTAGTATAAACAGTTTGCTAGACTGCTACTCAGCTAACCTGTCACCCATCAGAAGGTTGTTCCTGGGAGTGCCCTACAAGGCAACTGAGGTAAAGGATAAAGCCTGGTCTCAAACGGTTTGAAATCTCAAAATGAGACATCAGCATGAATACTGCTCACTTATGAATCAACTCTATGAATCTCTCTTAAAAAAAAAAAAATCACACTGTATTTTCTGGTTAGTTCTTCCAATGATGGTCTGAGATGTATTATCCCCATTTTACAGTTCAGTTGACTGAGGCTCAAAGCAGATAAGTAACTTAAGTGGCAGAGCCAGGATTCAAACCAGGATCCATTTGCCATGAGAGGGTAGATTCACACTCTTCTACGTGACTTACTCCCCTATAGGAGGGGTAACACGATCTATAATTTCAAGAGAGGACTTTGAAATCCATAACCTAGAAGCTCTAATTAAGATGAGGCAAAGGGCATAAATAACATGACAGAAACGTAGAGACACAGAAATAGTATAAAGTGCACTTACTCTAACTAATGAAGAAAATAAGCATGATGGTTATAGTGTTCCTGCCACTGGGTTAATTTACTTCTAAAAGTCCAATAACTGCTTTCATGTTAGGTATTCAGTATGTTATTAAGATATATTTTCTATATGCCTCAAAGTAAAGGTAAAGCCTTCTCATGATTTCTGGGAAGACTGCTTTTGCAGAAGAACTTGAAAAACAGCAGGGTTGTATTTATAACCTATCACAGAGGACAGAGTCTGAAAAGCAGTCACGTATCCAAATTTAGTAAGTGAAACAGAAAAACAAACTTTTCACAATAGTTTGAATAAGAAAAGATTTCGGCCGTAATGTACTATAGGTTTTACAGAAACCGTTTCCCATCTAGTCTCTGAATTTCTTTGGGGAATTATAAGAATCACTGAATTGGATGTTGTCATTGGACCTAGTAGTCAATCTTTTAATATTTATTTTGTAATTAAGGTGAAAACCCACTGAACAGCAAGTAGGATTAAATGCAGGGTAAACTAGACTAAGTTCAGTTGTGCCATAGAAACAAATCAAACCATTCGTTCCTGGCCTCTGGAAGGGCCACAGGCAGGGGAAGACAGGCTGGAATTGCTCCCTCCCTCCTCCCCATTCAAAGCCAAATTTGGTATAAAATAAATGTAAAAAGAAGGGTATTGAATGCCTTTCATAAAAATTACAGATAAGCTACAAGACTTTGTCCCGCCCACTCAGAACCACTCCTCTTTACAAGTAGATACATGCTTACAATCACCTGATTAAAGAAATCCTGCCAGCCAGAGGTTTGAAACTGGGAAAAGTCAGAGTGAGCGGTATTTCCTCATTTGTCCTTTGTGCTGTAATGATTTACTGAACGACTGCATGCAGGGACACTGTGGTCCACCTGATGGGCGCAGTGAGGGCAGAGCTGTGGGTGCTGTCCCTGTGTGGGACTCACCTGTACTCTCTAGGAATTCAAAAGTGCCTCCACAAGGCACACGCCAGCCAGGGATCCCGAACTTTAGCTCACTCTAACTCAGAAGCTGTATAAGCAATTTGCAGGCAAAAACAACACAGGCAGAGAAATAGCATTACGTAGTTAGAAAGCACAGTCAACAGATATCTCATTTTATCCTCACAACAACCCCATGAGGTGTGTCTGTAATTTATGCCTAATTTACAAATGAGCTAGTAGGTGATGCCCTTGGGACTTGGCCTTGGGTCTTCTGATAACAGAGTGCTTGTTCCCCTCCATTACATTTATTTTTACCAAATGTGTACAAAACATTATCCAACAGTCTAAGAAGTCCCACATCATTTTTGGGGCCCAAATGCCAGTGCTTCCTACCTTTGAGACAGTTTAAAGATCTAATACTAGGCACCAACACTGTTTTAAAAGCATACCTGCAAATAAAGGCTACTTTTTAGCATTGAGGGGAGATGAAGCAGTAGATTGTGTTAAATTAGGTTTGAAAGTGAAACAATAATTATAAATGTCTGTATCAGATAACATGTTAGTCTCTTAAAATGACAGAAAGAAAGGCCTTTTTTTTTTTTAAAGGAGAGCAAAAGCAAATTTGATTTAAATAGGTAAATGTTTCATTTCCTTTTTATTGTGAACAGGCTTTATTGCCACACTCTGTGAAATTGTTCATTTATTAAAACAAATTCTTACTTTCAACACCTTCTTCTGCAAAAGAGCAAAGCAAAGCCAAAGCTTCAAACATCAGGTTGTGATAGGGATGATTTAAATCTGGAGGTCACATAACTCTAACACATTCAGAGTGGCGGAGCACATTTTGAAACATGCTGGTCTAATCACTTGGCTTAGCACCTGTTACTATCTTGCATCTTCACATTGTTACAGCCACTCGATATTTCAGTCCCTGCAGTTCCTTTCTAATCCACATCTTTTAATTATAAATTGACAAGTAATCATAAAATAGGTTTATTTTTTCTAGATAGGGCTTAATTATTAAAACCCATAATACTGTAGTCTGGGCATTAACATGTGCCAGGCCCCAGACGTGGGGAAAGACAATAAGGAACAAGATAAACATAGTCCTTCATGGAATTTGCTTAAAAACTAGTAGGGAAGATAGGAAACTAGCAACAGCAAAGGATATGCCATTTCCTCCTTAGCAAATGCAGGATCCAAAAGGAACGCATAATAGGAAGACTTAAACCCTGAAGTACTTAATGAGAACACAAACCCAAGTAGGGGTTCCTCAAGGAAATGTGATGTAAAGAAGGGAGAGAGGGAACGCAGAGTGATGCAAGCAAAGAATAGGTATTACGATCAGCCTGGCTGTGAGGAAAATGAACTGATGCAATAATGAAAGATAAGGCAGGGGAGGAGACCAAGGAACCAACCGGGGCTTGGCTTGGTTAGCCTTTTTAAGGCACTGGGCTTGTCCTGTGGGCAAAGGATAAGCCTTCTAAGAATGCTATTTTGTAAAGATCACTCAGGCTGTGCTGTGAGCAACAGACTAGAAAGGGGGAAAGGGTCTGGAAGTGTGGGGACCAAGAAGGAGGCTGTTGGAGCCAGGGGAGAGCCTGGGGTGGCTCTCACACATGCAGAGAGGGGGACAAGTCTGGGGGACATTCGGGAGGTCCGGAGGCTCGACGGCTACCTGGGGAAAGAGCAGGGAGAGGTAGCTGAGAAGGCTGGTTCCTGCTTTCTTCGCTTGGATGCCCTTTACTGAGTACAGGGAGAGAGGAAGCTTCTGCAGGGCTTGAAAACCGAACCACTCAAACCAAGAGTGACAAGTGTGAGAAGGGCGCAGTTTTTCCACACGGCCTGAGGGGGTTTTAGAGCAGCTCCTAGGTGACTTAGGCAACGGATACATAACTACGGGGAAGAGCTGCAAGGACTTACGGAAGCCTTCGGGCCTGAGAAGGAATTGGAATTCAATGCTTGAAATTCCTTGTCTGGAAAACTAAGTCACAGTCTACCCGAGAAAATCTAGGCCAGAGACGGGAAAGGCAGCAAAGACCACACCGTCGTCCCGTAATGAGAGGATCGGGCCCGGAGGGCAGCGCCCCTGGGCACCACCGCGCCAGCCTCCGGCCCCCCGGGGGGGCACCGTTTCTGGACGCCAAGCGTCCGCTTCTCTCTTCCCGATCCAAATCTTAGCCCAACATTCCGCCCGCCCTCCCTTCCCAGCCTTTGGCTTCCGGCTCCAATCTCCTACAGCTGGGCTTGCCGCCCCCCCCACCCCCCCTCCCCCCCGACTTCGGGTCTAGCCTTGTGCAACCCGGCCTCGACGCTCCCAGCCTGGCCTCTCCATTCTCCCGTCCCCCGGGCTCGGCCCCTCCAGCCAGATCTCCACTCCCCGGCCCGCTCCCCCCCACTCCCGCTCGACTCCGTCGCCTAGCGGGCTTCAGAGCACGTTCTCGCACCCATGTGGAGCCATAACAAAGGATCCGCCGCACCGACCCTGCCCATCCTTTACTCTCCCCGCGGAGCAGCTGCGGGCCCGAATGCGTCGCCGCGGCGGGCGCCGGGCTTCGGAGGACGGAGGGAGCGGGCCTAGGGCTGACAGGGCCGCGGCGGGAAGGGGCGACGGCAGCACTCACCGCGCACACAGTCTCCACACAACTGCCACCGACTTGGTCCTCACCGCACAGGCTAGATTGGTCTAGCCCTCAGCCCGCGGCCCCTTTAGGGTAAGCTACAGAGCAGGCCCCGCCCCCGCCCCCGCCAGCCCCGCCTCGAGCCCGCCCCCTCGGCCCCGCGCCGACACGCCCTTCCCACCCCGGCACCGCACTCTCCCGCCCCCACCGCCCCAGCCGCTTTCTCATAGGCCTAGCGCTCTCCTTTCTCCGCCCCCTCCGCACTTATGCCGCTCCTTAATTGGCCCGGCGCCCACCTGCCGGCACGTCCCCCCGCCCCCACGCTCTGGCCTCGCTCTCGCGCCGGGACTGAAGATTGGCCCCTCCTGCTGCGGCGGCGGCGGCGGCGGCGGCCCTATTTGTTTCCGGCAGTGACGCGGGTATCTGAAAAGGACGGAGACCTGAACGCCTCACGAGACCCAAAGAGCAGCGAGAAGGGAGTCAAAGGCGGGGCAATCACATCTCCGGGAGGAAGGGGACCAGGCCTCGACCCTCGCTGGTAAATCTGTACTTAGCTTTCCTTAGCTCACCCCCCACTTCCCTGTCCCTAAATCAGAATCCTTCCCTGCTCTGCAGATTTCCCGCCTGTTTTCGTTCACAGTTTCCGTTCAGACCCTGATGCAAACAATAAATCGTTTTCGCAGGAGGATATATCAACACTATTGAGCACGACATTCTGCACCCAATTTCATGGGGTTCATGACGCCCACGTTAAGAACTAGTGTGCCCCCAACATTTTTGCCCATTCGGGTATAAATCGGGGGGCTGCGGTTTGTACATAAATAGGCACCGTCTTCTATATATGGTACCCCTTTGTTGAGTGCTTAGTACATTTTCGCAGTGCAGTTTCTCATTGGAACCTCTCTACAGCTCCAGGAGGTAGGAATTCCAATTCCAATCCCTACAGGTGTTTAAGAACGTTAACTCATTTGCTCTTGCTAAGAGTTACCTGAGTTAAACTCGGATCCTTTATTTATCCTTCCCAAATTGAGAGAGGACCAGTGTTTGGCAGTCCTTTCTCTGCTGCAGTAGAACTGAAGAATATACTTCCCTCTCCGGATCCTACCAGTGGTTCAGACCATAATTACTGCTAAGAAAAAACTAGTGCTGTTAACGAGTCCTGTTACCCCGTTGTGATGCCCACGCCCCCACCTGGGCCCAGGGATTTCTTTCCAAAATGATGCTTACGTTAAAGCAGCAGCAGATTTTGTTTTCCTGTAAATTATGCTAATTTGTCTAGTGAAACTTTAATTACAATAGAACAGTTGGCTCGAGGCAATGTCTTCTGAGTCCAGTAATTTCTTTTGACAGTTGTCTCAGAGGTGGCAAAATTTGATCTGGGCCTTGAGGAGGAAGAGTTTGGGAAAGGCAAGTGAGGCATTCCAGGTGAGAGGAATCTATGCCAGAGCCTGCATACATTGGGGCCAGCTGTAGGAGGCGGTCCCTATGCATTTGGTGGTAAGAAATAAAATGATTAATTGGTCTAGATCCTGGAGACTGTAAAGCGGTTTAGAATCTGGTCCAGATTCTAGAGGGAGTTTGGACTTCTTGAGGTAAACCAAAGTGTGAATCGAGTGATGCTCTGAATCATGAATGAGTGTTGCTGTGGAAAGTCATGAATCTGGTTTTAAAGGTGATTAGTCTGGCGGAGTTCCGCTGTTTGGAAGGGCGAGCCACTGGGGATTGGAGAAAGGGGAAGCTGGAAAAGAATAATCTATTACTGTATGTTTTGTTATCCCTTACCAGAAATTTTTGGGAAATTTGTTTTTTTTAATTGGATAGAGAGAGAGGGAGACACAGAATCTGAAGCTGGCTGTCGGCTTCCAGTTGTCAGCACAGAGCCCGACGCGGGGCTGGAATCCACGAACCACTGAGAGATCATGACTTGAACTGAATGAAGTCTGATGCTTAACCACTCAGGTACCATTAGGGAAATTTGAATATAAGTTACTTCTGTTTAAGCATAGAGAGGTAAAATGACCGGAGGGGGTGGATGGGAGAAGAGGATTCAATTAGTATAGTTACTTTCTTCAGGTGTTACTCATCTGGGATACAATCTTATGTAACAATAGTACTGTAAATTAATTTTAATCCCATACTTTATATTGAATATTTCAGCAGCAGGAGCAGTTTAAATGTATTCAAGGGGGCCAGCAAGGGGATTATGTTAAGAAAATCTTGCCACATACCAGAACATGACTCAACACTGGAACTGGAACACCTATGCCGGAAAACACAACATACAGGTGAATCTGTTCTCAGGGCACAGGGGGGAGTGGGAGTTGGGGGATAGGAACTGACTTGTGATTAGACCAAAGAAGAAAGAAACTAGAAGTGCACCAAGGAGAACCTCGGCAAGTCTTTAGCTCTCCCGAGAGGCTGGGAGTCCTTATTCCGGCTGGCCCTGGGACTCTGGCCATCAAGTGACTGAGCTGGGCAAGTCTGGGCACAAACCAAGGGAAACCAGGGCTTCTGAGGTTGGCCGGCTAAGTCCTCTCCTTCCCCCCTTCCCTCTGCCTCTCCTCCCACTACAGTGACTCTGAAAAGACTAAGAGCCTCTTTTTCTAGCCTGACCGCCTTTAGTTGTAAAATCAGTATGGAACATGGTTAAAGGCAATGTTAAAAGCATTGTGGGATGTGGCACCTGGGTGGCTTAGTTAAGTGACCGACTTTGGCTCAGGTCGTGATCTCATGGTCCGTGAGTTTGAGCCCCGTGTCAGGCTCTGTGCCGACAGCTCAGGGGCTGGATCCTGCTTTGGATTCTGTGTCTCCCTCTCTTTTTCTGCCCCCTCCCGTGTTCTTGTGCGTGCGCTCTCTCGCTCGCTCGCGCGCTCTCTCTCTCTCTCTCTCAGAAATAAATATTTAGAAAAAAATTTTTTAAAGAAAAAGCATTTTCAGGGTGCACCTGGCTGGCTGGCTGACTTGGTAAAGCTTGTGAGTCTTGATCCTGAAGTCATGAGTTCAAGCCTCACATTGGGGATAGAGCTTACTTTAACAAAGGAGGAAGAGGAAGAAAGAACATTGTGGCACAATGTAAAGACATAAAAGAGCTCTTAAACCTACTAATTTGAAATACAACAAGTGTTTTTCTTTGGAACTTGGAAACTGTTACCAAAAATAGTTATGGTCACTGTGTGAAAAGAGGTTTTTGCTGCACAATTATGTAAAAGAAAGACCACAGCCCTTCCCCACCAGGAATTAAAAACATTTTGAAAATGGTGGCCTATTTCTTGTCCCAGAGGGTAGGGATGAGGAAAATGATAGTCCGCAGCCCGAATGCCAGATGGCTTCGTATTCTCCATTTCCTTTGCTTTTGTCATTCAACCCTCCTGCTCCGAGAGTCCAGTGCCCAGTTGTCTTCTAACCCTGAACCCAGCTGTTAGAATTTTTGAACTGTGCAAACAAAATGTGGGAATGTCTCTTCTTTCTCTGTTGGCATTGTGGTTTCCTCCGTCCTGTAAGTGTCAAACTGATTTTCCATTGTGACGTACTCTCATGGTCATACCAGATTCCTTTACACAATCAAAAATTTTCCTGATGTCAGTGTCACTAAGTGTGATCATGTTCATGGTTATGCCTTGTCGATTACTGGTTAGATCCTAGAGCTACAGATCTTGTCTAAATGTGTTCTGTGTTTATTTTCTTCGTTAAGTAATCAGTGGGCTTTACTAAAAGTTACTACATTTGATAGAAGAGGGTCAGTTTCTCACTTAGGTTGCCTAAATATGGAGGATTTATATCTGTATGTGAAACAGATTAAAATAAATCTTGTACTCAGAGTCTAGCATTATGGTGCCCCATATCACTTGGTATTGAAAAAGCCATTTCATTAAAAATTATCCCATCTTTTCAATCCTGTGAAATTGTATTCCTTTCCTCGGCATACCTGTTATGAAATTTATGTTGATGCCTTTAGAATTGTTTCTTGGTTTACAATTTATTTTTTTTTAAAGTTTATTTTTGAGAGAGACAGACAGAGCCAGAGCACAAGCTGGGGAGGGGCACCGAGAGAGGGAGACACAGAATCCAAAGTAGGCTCCAGGCTCTGAGCTGTCAGCACAGAGCCCAGTGCAGGGCTCGTACCCATCAACTGGGAGATCATAACCTGAGCTCTAGTTGGATGCTTAACCGACCAACTGAGCCACCCAGGCGCCCCTCATGGTTTGTAATTTATAATTTTCATGTGGATCAGGTGTAACTTTTTTTTTTTAAATGTTTTACTTATTTCTAGGAGAGAGAGAGAGACAGCGTGAGCAGGGGAGGGTCAGAGAGAGAGGGAGTCACAGACTCCGAAACAGGCTCCAGGCTCCGAGCTGGCAGTCAGCACAGAGCCCGACGCGGGGCTCGAACCCACGAACCGCGAGATCACGACCCAAGCGAAAGTCGGACGCTTAACCGACTAAGCCACCCAGGCGCCCCTGGTGTAACTTTGAGAGAGTAATCTTTCTTAGGTTTGTTATGGTCGGAGTCAAATGTGAAATTTAACAGTCCTGACATTTTACCATCTCCGTCTTTTAGGAGGAACCTATTTTTTCTTCCTGGGAATGTATCATTTGCCGGTGAGTTTGTGTTGTTGCAAGGTTTTCTGCTAAAATTCAAGAGAGTATTTATCAACGTGATAAGCACAAGTACTGGAAAGTCATTGCCAAAGGTAAATAGGCATTTTCCCCTCAAATACTATAGTTTATGTTTTAGTTTATAAAACGAATATGTGTTTTCTATATAGGTAAATTATGACATAGATGATATGCATGAAGAGAGACTACATCGGTTATTTATGTCTGTGTAAAACACCAAGTCAAAGCTTCTAGGCTTAAAAAAAATTTGTTTTCTTCCAGTTCTGTGGGTTGAACATCTTCTTACTGGCCTTTGACAGATCTCACCTGAACTCATTCAGGCTTACTTCTGCATTGAATTCAGGTGGGTGGAGGATCAAACTAGCTTAACTCAATATATCTGACAGTTGGTGTTGGCCTTACCTGGGGTAACTTGCTTCTTCTCCAGATGGCTTTTTGTCCTCTATGAGGCATGACAGTCTCAGGGCAGGACTACAGCATAGCCAAATCCAGTGCAGAAGCGCTTCTTGTACCACTGTTTGCTTCACATTTGTTGGTGTGACATTGACACATTGAGATTCACATTGTTGATGTGACTAAAGCAACTCACATGGCCAAGCATGGAGTCAGTAGGGGAGTGGGCTCAGGCAGCATCTGCTGATGGGAAGAGTGGCAGAAATTTTGTGGCCATTATCTATGTAGGATACAAGCCTTTTTCCCCTTCAAAAAACTCATACTTTTTTTTTTTTTTTTGGTAAGTAAACCATAATCAAAAGTCGAAAAAGTATTGCCTGGTCCCCTCACCTTGACATGGCTAAGATGGAAACAAAAATACATATTCTTAATAAACAAAAGTGAAAAGACCATCATTTCACATTGACTAATCACAAAAATACAGTCAGTAACAGACATAGGTTAAAATCCATTTATTCCTGTCTTTAATCATGCTTATGGTTAACATAGACATCCTAAAGCGAAACTAGCCAATATTTCAATTTCCATTTGTACACTGTGTTGTCCTCCTAACGGTTGTGTTGGGCGAAAATACAAGAAATGGAAAGAAACAGAAGAAAAGGGAACTAAGAGTTGCACAGTGGTGTCTGGAAATGAACTCTGCACTGAGAAGTAGTAGCACAGGCGTGATGGCCAAAGTGGTAAGACCTCTTGGGCAAGGTCAATGTGCTTGATGCATTCAAGTGGTTCTCATGAAAGTCATAATGATACAAAACCCACTTGGATTTACATGTGACTTTGTAAGCTACAAAACAGTTTCTTATGTGTTAACACATTTATCCTGATAATTACAAGTATTTAGGATGATATTAATCTCCATTTTGCAGTTAAGGCTCAGGGAGCTTCTAAAATCCTAGCATTATTAGATGGAAGAGGCAAGATCTAAAGATCTTGATAACTAGCCATGTTGACCTTAAAACTTCATGTGGTATATATATAAAAAATTTTTATAATACTTTCACATAGATATTTCATTATGTATATTTCATTATATATATGTGTGTGTGTGTGTGTAGGATAAGGAAATAGCCATTAGGAAATGGGTTTTGAAGTTTCACCAAAAAAATATATATATTCTAAACCAAGAAATGGATGTCCTTGGTGGTTTTAGTACTGATAGAAATCTTACACAGGATAGGATTTAGTTTCCCATAACTTCTGAACCAATGGAGAGAAAATGGAAAATAAAACTGAAGCAAATTGAAGAACGAGCAGCTCGTTATGAGAGGAAGCCATTGTCCTCAGTATACAGACCAAGACTGTCCAAGCCAGAAGAGCCACCTTCCGTTTGGAAACTATTTCATCGGCAAACTCCGGCGTTTAATTTTGTTAAAAGCTGTAAAGAGGTAATTTTCTCATCTCCTGCCTTTATTTCTGGAGCTACTATAACTTCCGATTTCTAAAAAAATAAAAAGATCTATTGCTTGTGTTCATTTCAGCCCACATGATCTAAAGAATTGTGATCTAAATATCAAACTGTTTACAAAACATATCCCTATGAATTATTGGCCATTTACTTTATATTAAGAATGAAAAACGACATGCATAGTGCCAGTTTGAAAAATTTGTAATGACAATTAAAAGTTTTATTTAAAATATAGTTGACATAGTAGTGTATTAGTTTCAGGTGAACAACATAGTGATTTGACAGTTATGTACATTATAAAATGCTTACCACAATAAGTCTAGTGACCATCTATCACCAACGTTACTACAGTATTATTGACTATATTCCCTATGCTGTCCTTTTCATCACCATGACTCATTTTATAACTGGAAGATTATACTCTTTAATCCCCTTCATCTATTTCTCTTGTCTGTCCATGCCTCCCCCAACTCCTCCCGGCAACCACCAGTATATTCTCTGTATTTGAGTCTCTTTGAGGTTCGTTTTGTTTTTAGATTCCATATATAAATGAAATCACGTGATCTTTTTTTTTTCCTAACTTATGTCACTGCATAATACCCTCTAGGTCCATCCATGTTGTGAACAGCAAGACTTCATTATTTACGGCTCAGTAATATTCCTTTGAGTACATATACCACATTTTTATCCATTCATCTTCAGTGGACACTCTGGTGTCTTCCATATCTTGGCTATTATAAATACGGGTAAAGACATTCTTTGGAATTAGTTCTTTCATTTTCTTGAGGTGAATACTGAATTACTGGAATTAATGGATCATATGGTATTTCTATTTTAATTTTTTTTTGAGGAACCTCCATTTTGTTTTCCCTAGTGGGCTGCACCAACTACATGCCCACCAGTAGTGCATAAGTGTTCCCTTTTCTCCAAATCCTTAGAAACATTGTTATCTCAGTGTGGTTTTGATTTGCATTTCCAGAATGATTAGTGATGTTGAGCGTTTCTTTGTGTCTGTTGGCCATCTATATGTCTTCTATGGAAAAATGTCTATTCAAGTGCTCTGCATGTTTTTAAAATCAGATTTTTTTTTTTTTGGTGTTGAGTTGTAGGAGTTCTTTTATTATTTTGGATATTAACCCCTTATCACATATCATTTGTTAATATCTTCTCCCATTCAGGAGGTTGCTTTTGCATTTTGTTGGTGCCCTTTGCTGTGCAAAAGCTTTTTGTCTGGTATAGTCCCAATTGTTTATTTTTGCTTTTGTTTCCCTTGCCTGGGGACCAAGATCCAGACAAATATTGCTGAGACTGATGTCCAAGAGTTTACTGCTTGTATTTTCTTTAAGGAATTTTATGGTTTTCTGTTTTGAGTTTATTACTGTGTATGGTGTAAAAAAGTGGCCCAGTTTTCTCAGCACCATTTATTGAAGAGACTGTCTTTTCCTTATTGCATATTCTTGCCTCCTTTGTTATAGATTAGTTGACCTTAAAACTGTGGATTTCTGGGCTCTCTATCCTGTTGCATTGATTTATGTGTGTACTTTTATGCCAGTGTCATACTGTTTTGATATCTGTAGAATTGTAATCTACTTTGAAATCTGGGGTTGTCATACTTGCAGTTTTGTTCTTCCAGAAGATTGCTTTGGTTATCTGTGGTCTTCTTTGGTTCTGTAAAAATCTTAGGATTATTCTAGTTTTGTGAAAGATTGATATTATTGATGTTTTAGTAGGGATTGCATTCAGTCTGTAGATTGCTTTGGATAACATGGACATTATAACAGTATTACTACAGATCCATGAGCATTATATATCTTTCCATTTGTGTTGTCTTCAGTTCTTTTATCAGTGTCTCATGGTTTTCAGAGTACAGGTCTTTTACTTCATTGATTAAATTTGTTCCTAGGTATTTTATTCCTTTTGTTGCAACTGTAAATGAGATTGTTTTTTTTCTTTCTGATAGCTCACTATTAGTATATAAAAGTATACTCGATTTTTGTATGTTAATTTTGTATCCTGTCACTCGGTTGAATTCATTTATTCTAATTATTTTTTGGTGGAGTCTTTAGGGTTTTATATGTAGTATCATGTCGTCTGCAAATAGTGACAGTTTTACTTCTTCCTTATCGATTAGGATGCTTTTTTTACCCTCCTTTTTCTTGTCTGATTGCTGTGGTTAGGACTTCTAGGACTGTGTTGAATAAAAGTGGGGAAATTGGGCATCTTTATCTTTTCCTGATCTTAAAGGGAAAGCTTTCAGCTTCTCATTTAAAAAAATTTTTTAATGTTTTATTTATTTCTGAGAGAGAGAGAGAAAGAGGCAGTGAGAGAGGCAGCGAGAGAGGCAGCGTGAGCAGGGGAGGGTCAGAGAGAGAGGGAGACACAGAATTGGAAGCAAGCTCCAGGCTCTGAGCTGGCTGTCAGCACAGAGCCTGACACCGGGCTCGAACCCACGAACTGTGAGATCATGACCTGAGCCAAAGTTGGATGCTTAACTGACTGAGCCACCCAGGTGCCCCTTTTCATTGTTGAATATGACAATGGCTATGGGTTTGTCATATATGGTCTTTATTATGTTGAGGTGTTCTCTCTATACTTAGTTGATAGTGTTGGGATATGGAATTTGGTCAAATGCCATTTCTGCATTTATTGAGATGATTATCTGATGCTTATCCTTCATTTTATTAAAGTGGTGTATTATGTTGATTGATTTGAGGGTATTGACCCATCCTTGCATCCCTGGAATAAACCCCACTTGATCATGGTGAATGATCCTTTTAACGTATTGTGTTAGATTTGCTAATACCTTGTTGAAGATTTAAAATTTTTTTAAATGCTTTTTTTAAAATTTACTTCTGAGAGAGAGAGAGGGAGAGAGAGCATGAGCAGAGGAGGGTCAGAGAGAGAGGGAGACACAGAATCTGAAACAGGCTCCAGGCTCCGAGCTAGCTGTCTGCACAGAGCTGGATGCGGGGCTCGAGCCCATGAACCGTGAGATCACGACCTGAGCTGAAGTGGGACGCTTAACCAACTGAGCCACCCAGGCGCCCCTTGTTGAAGATTTTAACATCTGTGCTCATCAGGGATATCAGTCTCTGATTTTTTTTTTTTTTTTTTTTTGGTAGTGTCTTTGTCTGGTTTGGTTTGAGGTTAATGCTATTCTTTGAGAACAAATTCAGAAGCATTCCTACTTCTAATATATTTTGGAATAGTTTGAGAAGCATAGTTTTAACTCTTCTTTAAAAGATGTTTGGTGAGGCGCATCTGGGGGGCTCAGTTGAGTGTCCGGTTCTTGCTTTTGGCTCAGGTCATGATCTTGTGGTTCATGGGTTCAAGCCCCACATCAAGCTCGTGCTGATGTCAGAGCCTGCTTGGGATTCTCTCTCTCTCTCTCTCTCTCTCTCTCTGCCCTCTGCTGCTTGTGCCCACTGTCTGTCTGTCTCTCAAAATAAATATGTAAACTTAAAAAAAAAAATAAAAGATGTTTGGTAAAATTCACCTGTGAAGCCATCTGGCCCTTGGCATTTGTTTTTGGGGAAATTTTTGATTACCATTTCAATTTCATTACTAGTTACCCATTTTCTCTTTCTTTCTGATTCAGTCCTGGAGAATTTTGTTACTATGGATTTATCCATTTCTACTAAGTTGTCCAGTTTGTTGGCACATACTTTCTTGTATTAGTCCCTTTATTTTTTTCCCACTTTTTATTTTTATTTTTTAAATTTAAAAATGTATTAAAAAACAGTGACAAATTCACATCATAAAAAAGATACATATTTTAAAAGACATAGGTAGACTTTCAATTTCCAATCCATATAGGAGGCTTAAAAGTTGGCACTATGTTCTAATAACACTATTTTTTTAACCTAATAAGTATAAAAAGCTGAACACACTGAAAAATCAACAGCTTTTCTTAGATCTGTAAGAGAAGTGTTAGAACACAGGTAAACCACTGCCCCCTCCAAATGGGAAAAGATTGACAGACAAATACAGAGAATCACAGCCTCCTGGAGAAAAGACCCATGAGCAGCAACCTCTGCTCTGTGGGAACTAATGTCAAGTTAGGGAAACCTGGACTGTAATTTTTGAATTGCTGGAGTCTCAGTGTGGACAAGTCTGAGGTAAAATCACCAGGGAGACCCAGTCATTGGAGTGGAGGGAGAGGAGGAAATGGCCCCACACTTTTATGAATTTTCCCTTTGGAGCTTTATCAGTTTCTCACAATGAACACCAGAGAAAAATCTCCTTATGCTTCCAGCAGGGAGAAGAAAGAAAGAACCAGTTAGAAATATGTCGAAGCATTCTGTTCTTTTTAACATGGTCTACCCTTAGGAGATACTATTGAACCATAGCTTAAGCTGCCAGGGTTTTATCAGAGCTGAACTAAATAACAAAATACCTAATGAAACAGCTCTCTCCAGCCCACTCTCATCATCCTGCCTCACCTAAAAGTGGGTGGGCTGATAACAGGATGAAGTTCATCTTCCAGAACAGGCCTATTAAAAGACTGATAACTAATCATAAGATGTAGTAGTCCCTTTAATCCTTTGGGTTTTTGTGGTGTCTGTTGTAACTTCTCTTTTGCTTCTGATTTTATTTTTGAGTTGTCTTTTTTTATTCTTGATGAGTCTGGTTATATCAATTTTGCTTATCTTTTGAAAGAACCAGTTCTTAATTCCATTGATCTTTTCTATTGTCTTTTTAGTCTTCATTTATTTCCACTCTGATCTTTATTCTTTTCCTCCTTCTAATTTTGGGCTTTTTTAATTCTTGTTTTGTTAGTTCCTTTTAGGTGTAAGTTTAGATTGCTTCTTTGTGATTTTTCTTGTTTCTTGAAGTAGGCCTGTATTGCTGTAAACTTCCCTCTTTAGAACTGCTTTTGCTGTGTCTTGCATAGATTTGGAACCATTGTGTTTCCATTTTCTTTTGTGTCCAGGTATCTTTTTATTTCTCTTTGGTTTCTCCATTGACCCATTGGTTGTTTAGTAGCATGTTATTTATTTCCAGTTTTTTTCTTGAATTGACTTTTTGGTTTCATATCATTGTTGGAAAAAATGCTTGATATGATTCAGTCCTTTTAAATTTATTGAGACTTGTTTTGTGGCCTGACATATGATTTATCCTGGAATGTTCCATGTGCACTTGGAAAGAATGTATTTTCTGCTGTTTGGGGATGAAATGTTCTGTGTATATATATCTATTAAATACGGTCTAATGTATCATTCAAAGCCAGAGTTACTCTACTGATTTTTCTGTCTGGATAATCTATCTATTGATGTAAATGGGTGTTAGAGTACACTACTGTTAACGTATTACTGTCATTTTCTCCCTCTTTGTCTATTAATACTTGCATACTATATTTAAGTGCTCTTATGTTGGGTGCATAGACATTTACAATTGCTGTACCCTCTTGTTAGACTGATCCCTTTATTATGTGATGCCCTTCTTGTTTCTTGTTATAGTGTTTGTCTTAAATCTATTTTGTTCGTAAGTATTGTTACTCCAGCTTTTTTTTCATTTTCATTTGCATGGAATATCTTTTTCTATCCCCTTTTCAGTCTATATGTCTTTCAATCTGAAGTGAGTCTCTGGTAGGCAGCATATAGATGGGTCTTGTTTTTTTAAAATTTTTATCCATTCAGTCACCCTTAGTCATTTGATTGGACAATTTAGGCCATTTACATTAAAAAGTTTTTTTAATTTTTATTTTTGAGAGAGAGAGATCGCACAAGCAGGAGAGGGGCAGAAAGAGAGGGAGACACAGAATCCGAAGACAGGCTCCAGGCTCTGAGCTATCAGCACAGAGCCCAATGTGGGGCTCAAACCCATGAACCGTGAGATAATGACCTGAGCTGAAGTCGGTCGCTTAACCGACTGAGCCACTTAGGCGTCCCTAGGCCATTTACATTTAAAGCCAAGATTTTGATTGGTGTAAATATACTGTTTTTTTAGTTCTAGTCAGACTAAAATACTTAGTTTTATTTAATATAAAATAACTACTTAGTAATACAGATAGATGTTCAAATTCCAGTTTTCCAAAATTTGATAAGATTCTTCATAAACATTGAATAGCTTCAGTGGGTTTTTGGATTTATACTCGATTAACTTTTATTATTTTTGGTTTTTATGAAGGATGTTCATGTATTTGCTTTGGAATACAAAGTAGGAGATGGACAACGTATTTACCTGGTAACAACCTATGCTCAACTTTGGTTTTATTATAAATCCCGGTAAGTGTGTAAAGGACAGCATATTAAAGTTATATTTCCTTCATCTAGTTATGTTTATGACATTGATTCTGGCTGAATTAACTGTTGTAGTTCTCAATCACACAATAGTCCTTTACTGGTGGAATGGAATTCTGGACCTTCCTTGTCAAGGCAGCACTGAATGATCTCACCAGGTGTTGGGAGAGGAGTACTGTGTAATCAACCGTGTATGTGTTTTGAGTTCCTAAACAATCTATGTCACATGATGACTGAATTCCGCCCCCCCATCACTTTTTCTTACTGAAATTACAAACCTTTTACTTATATAGGATGTTATCTGAAATTCACTTAGCATAAGTAATCTTTTCCTTATCAAGTCAGTGTCTATTCTTATTAGCCTGTGTTAAAGTCCTATCTCTTGATCCACGTGAGAGCATTGAAAGCTCCTGAAGTCAGGTGATTCAGAATATGTTTTTAGCCAATTTTTAAAATACTGTTTTCCTAATGAGAATACAAAACTGAAAAATGCTCATAAAAATATTTGTCGAATCCCAAGAATGTACGTGATATTGGGATTCCAGTTTGAGAAAGTTCTTTTCTTAGACAGGATTTGCTTCATCATGACACCAAAAACCAAAGAATGGTCATACAATGTCAAAATTATCAGCCTGAGGTTGATAAATTTTCAAGTTAAATAATGTCACAGAATACAATCATTACATATTGTTTGATGGAAGCTCTTAATACTGCGAACCATAAGCCTGCTGTGAGTTGTTTGCTTTGCCATGCCTTTATTGTTCCATAGTTAGGTCATTAAATCACACTTAATACAATATCTTGAGATAGAAAAGCAACTGTTATGATGTAAAAGATATAAGATGTAAACCTAACAATCTTGCATTATTCAATTCAGAAAAAATCTCTTACACTGTTACGAAGTCATTCCTGAAAATGCTGTGTGCAAGCTTTATTTCGATTTGGAATTTAACAAACTTGCAAATCCAGAAGCTGATGGGAAAAAGATGATTGCGTTACTCATTGAGGTACATTACAAACTCAAGTTTTTCTCTTTTTATCTGTATATCTCTTCATTCCTTTATTCATTCATTCAGTGAATCCAACCTATGTAATATTTGGCGTCTGTGTTTCACCTCCTTTTTCTTCTCTTCCTTTTGACCTTCATTTCTTAATATGACTTCTCTGAGTAAACTTCTAAAGAGAACGAAGGTTCGTCTCAGGTCCATATGTCTTATAATACTAGCACGTCTACTGTGAAAAGTAGGCTGGAGAAAGATGGCAGTTTGGAAACTGTTTTAAATTGTCTATCAATTCTGTTTACATTATAAATAGCTGACTGTGGTAAAAGTTGGGCCAAGTAATTTTTGCTGTAAAACTCAGGTAGTGAGATGAATTTCAAGAAAACTTTGATTAAAAAGTGTATCATAGGGGCGCCTAACTCAGTCGGTTAACAATATGACTTTGATCTCAGCTCAGGTCATGATCTTACGGTTTGTGGGATCGAGCCCCAAGTCAGACTTGTGCTGACAGTCTGGAGCCTGCTTGGGATTCTCTCTTTCTCTCTGCCCCTCCCCTGCTGGTTCTCTTTCTCTCTCAAAATAAATATAACTTAAAAAAAAAAAAAACCAATAAAAACATTTGTATCATAGGGGTGCCTGGGCGACTTGGTTGAGCATCCATCTTGATTTTGGCTCAGGTCATGATCCCAGGGTCATGGGATTGAGCCTATCTCTGGCTCCACACCCAGCGTGGAGCCTGCTTGAGATTCTTTCTCTCCCTTTGTCCCTCTTCTCTGCTTGCTCTTAATACTCTCTCGCTCTCTCTCTCACTTAACTCTCAACTCTCTCTCTCTCTCTCTCTCTCGGACACTTAACCAACTGAGCCACCCAGGCGCCCCCTTCCTGGTTTTTCCTGTTTAGTTCTATGTACTGGGTAGTCTGCTCTGTTTCCTGGCCTTGAAGGTAGGATCCTCATGGAGAACGTATCCTACCAGGCCCAGAAGCAAAATCTCTCCTGCTCACCAGAACCAGGTGCTCCAGGGGTGTCCTGTGTGTGGGTTGTTATGTGCCCTTCTGTTGTGATGGGCCTCTGACTCCTGTGGGGGGCGATGGTGGGTGGGGCGGGCCGGCCGATCCCGGGCCGAGGGGCGTGGCTGCAGCTGCTGTGCGCTGCTTGTGGGTGCAGTTAGCCTCTTGCAGCCGGCTCTAGGCTTGACTGTGACTGCGGCTGTGTGCGCTGGTAGGTGGGTTGGCCTTTGCTCCTCCTCCTTGGGTAGGACTTGCTTTTACAGGGTTGTCAGGCCCAGCCTTGGCTTACCTGCTGGGTATAGCAGTGTGGGAAGCCACTTTGGAGGGGCACCTGATGGGGTGGGCAGGTTGGGCGGCCGAGTCCGCAGAGGCTCAATGAGTGGTACTAGCAAGGAGGATAGAGAGTGTTTGGAAATTGTATCTGCCAGAGCACAAGAAAAATGGTTTTCACTAGTGCTTCCATTCCCAGAGAAAGTTTCTAAAGATCTCTTCTCCTCTGATACACATACTAAAATTAATACTTTTTTTTAGTGTTTATTTTTGAGAGAAAGCACCTGTGCACAAGTGGGGGAGGGGCAGAGAGAGGAGGAGACACAGAATCCGAAGCAGGTGCCAGGCTCTGAACTGTCAGAGCTCTAGGCGGGGCTGGAACTCACAGACTGAGAGATCATGACCTGACCCGAAGTCAGAGGCTTAACCAGCTGAGCCACCCAAGTGCCCCTAGACCAAGTGCTTTTTTAAATCTGTTACCTCTGTGCTGTGTCTTGGGGTAAGATTGCTCACAAGCCCTTTAAGAGTAGACTAGTGTTGGGGCACCTGGGTGGCTCAGTTGGTTAAGTGACGGGCCCTTGATTTCAACTCAGGTTGGTGAGTTTGAGTCCCACCTTGAACTCTGTGCTGATGGTCCAGAGCCTGCTTGGGATTCTCTCTCTCCCTCTGTCTCCCTGCCCTTCTCCCACTGTCACACACTATCTTTCTCTCTGTCTCAAAATAAATAAATAAACATTAAAAAAAAGTAGAGTCTTGGTTTCCTGTAACCCTCTAGCGCTCTGGGCAGGGCCACTCAGCGGGGGCCTTGAACCCATGGCTGCTCAGGGAGGATCCGTGCCTCTGTGATGGCTCTTCCATTGTTGGTCACTGTTTAGGGCTTGATTCCTGAGCCAGCCTGGTCTTTGCCCCTCCTCCCCTTATTTATGTGGCTTTCCCTTTATACCTTTTGCTCTGTTCTGCTGGGCCCTCAGGCCGCCCTCAGAGGGACTTGTTCTATGTGTAATTGCAGCCTTGGTGCGTCCACGGGAGCAGTGAACTCAGGGTCTTCCTCCTCCACCATCTTTCTCTCCTGGCTTTGATGCAGAAGACATGTCCCCCTACCCCCAAAGAAACCAAACAAGAAAGATACTTTTCTTCTAATAGCCATTAGACCCTTAAAAGCAAATTCCAAAATTTTATTTCATTATATTTGGTAAATGATAATATACATAATTATTTAAAATTTAACCTTATTTTTAGAACAATTCATAGACAGTGATTTTTCTCTGATGTATGATACACTTTTAAATTCTAAGGTAGTATTTATTATATGGCTGTTGTGTATCTAAGAAGGAATTAAGATTCAGAGATTTCTACTGGCACTTGAATAGTGATACCATTAAGAAGCACATTGTATTATAAACTAGAACTACCCCTAATTGAATCAACACTAGTGCAAATCCTGTTTGTAACATAGATTAATAAACGCTGGTGTGGCAGAGATGGTATAGGTATTTAAAACTTTTCCTCCTAATTCTCTATATAATCTTATCCAACTTAGTCTTAAATAACTAATCTTCTACATCAGCGAGAGTTGGAAAGAATTGAAGAAATGTGAGGTTAAAATTATATAGCATTTTTATTTAACATGTTTACTATTTGGTAGAAAAGTTATTAGGATTATTTTAGATAATAAAACCTTCATATTTACATTGAGATTAATTTTATTTACTGGTTACTTTGTATAATAATTGTATTCCAGTAAGTACTTTTCTTCTCACATCTCCATGTGAAGAGGCATAAATTAGCTCTTAGCAGATGGTTTAGAAATAACTGGCTAATAATAGCTAGTGATAACCTATCACGCTTCGAGTCAATGACTTAACTGAAAATTTTAGTAAGCCCCTTTTGCCAAATGGTATGAGCCTGGTGTTAATGCATTTTATAAAAACTGCTGACAGGTAATATTGGTCATATAATCGTATATTTTTAATTTGTGGATTTTATAATTTTAATATTTAAATCACTTTAATATTTATTTACAGTTTAACTTGGGAAAGTTAACTCTGATGATTAGGACTACTTTATTCTTGTTTAACCCACGGAGTCACTCCATTTATTCTGTACAGCTCCAAAGTACAAAACTAGATTTTATTCAGTTACCAAAATCTTTTCAGCCTCTACTCAGTGTCAGTGTGCCCAGGCACTAGGAATACAGTGATTTGCCATCTTAGAATTTATAGTCTAATGGAGGATAACAAATTACGATAGGTTCAGTTGCCATGATAAAGAACTTAAAGTGGCTTAAACAAGATAGAAATTTATTTCTCTCTCCTCTAGTATCTGGAATGGCTCCATTGTTAGAGACTAGCCTTATTGCTTTGCTGTTTCCTAAAATGTTGCCTGTTATTTACCTTGTCCACATGGCTCACTACCACCGTCTGCTTTCTAACTAGTAGAAAACGGTAAAGGGTCGGGCATGCCCCTTGCCTATAAGAGTCTAACTTAGAAGTCCGGTACCTTCCTTCTGTTCATATCCCATTGGCGTGAACTTAGTCATGTGGCCACACACTTTATTGCAAGGGAGTTTGGGAAATGCAGTCTTTATTTTAGATAACCTTGTATCTAGGTAATGAGCGTTCTACTTCTATAGAAGCAGGAGAGAACAGACAGGGAGGGATAGCCTCCGTAACCGAGAGGAAACCAAAGTCAAAAGAATCACACACGTTAACATAAAATTGTAGCCGTGTAAGTACTGCAAACGGAGACAGAATATGAAGGGGGAATTGATGTAAATAGGAAACTGAGGAAGCCTCTGAGAAAGTGAGAATTTATTGAAGAGTATAGTCAGCGAGAGTGGTAGGGGTAGCTGTAATAATACCTAAATAACGTTAATAAATACAATTTACTGTATAACTGTTAGGTGTCTAAGTGCTTGCCAGTTTATAAGCATTTTGCTAATGTCAGGATAACCATGGTGGTTCTTAGTAACTTCATTTTGCAAATGAGGCTGAAGTTTCGGAAGTGACTCATTTTGTAGCTGCACAGCTAAGGCTTTTAAGCAGGTACATAAACCAGGCACTGTGCTGATTATTTACTTTCATTTTGTCATTTACTCGTGACAGCCGTCCCCAAAAGGTAGGTCTGATTGTTATCCCATTTTGCAGTTGAGGCGCGTAAGACTTGGGCTTGCCTAGAGTCACAGAGCTGGTAAGTGGCAAAGCCGGTACTTAAACCTGCATCTTTCTGATTCCAAATCTTGTGCGCCTAGCCCCCTTGCTGCCTTCTTAAAATGTTTAACTGCCTTTACTATCTGCAGCCTCTAGGGACGCCTTGGTGGCTCAGTTGGTTAAGCATCTAACTTTGGCTCCGGTCATGATTTCATGGTTTGTGGGTTTGAGCCCCGCACTGGGATCTGTGTTGACAGCTCAGAGCCTGGAGCCTGCTTCGGATTCTGTGTCTCCCTCTCTCTCCCTCCTCCACTCACTTTCTGTCTCTCTGTCTCTCTCTCTCTCTCTCAAAACTAAACATAAAAAAAAATTAGCAGCATCTATCCCCAGAGGGCTATATCTTGGAGGTCGATTTGGTTTCAATCTGTGTAAGGAACTTTCTGAAAACTAAAATTATTTCTAAAAACAGAATTAGTGACTTTTAAAATTCATAGGTGATATTTAAAGAGGTGCTTAAAAAGAAATATTTTTACTGTGATCTTAGAGGAGATTAATATGTAAGGTAAATTGTTTGAATTTTAGGAGGTCTTTACTCCTGAGAGTCTGTGACTCTTTGACCATAACATATATAATAATTTATTTTTTTTTTTTAATTTTTTTTTTAAGTTTATTTTTTATTTTTTATTTTTTTTATTTATTTCTAGGAGAGAGAGAGACAGCGTGAGCAGGGGAGGGTCAGAGAGAGAGGGAGTCACAGACTGAAACAGGCTCCAGGCTCTGAGCTGGCAGTCAGCACAGAGCCCGACGCGGGGCTCGAACCCATGAACCGCGAGATCATGACCTAAACGAAAGTCGGACGCTTAACCGACTAAGCCACCCAGGCGCCCCTTGGCGATCATCTTCTATCATGGCTTTGATTACCACTTGTGTGTCGATGACTCTTAAGTCTTCATCTCCAGCCACAATTGTCCTCCTTGATGCCAGCTGCCTCTTAAGCATTCCCTTGTGGATCCTTCAGACCCATCATCCCTAAACCGGACTCCTCATTTGTCTTCTAAACTTGCACTTTCTCCTGTGATACATGTACCAGTGAGTCCTGTCCACCATCTACCCAACTACCCAGGTGAAAATTTGGTGTTCTCTTTGAGCTCTGGTTTCTCTCAGCCGACGTACTTAGTCAGCTAGCCGGAGTCGTCGGATTATACCCCTTCTGTGCCTCAGGCCTTTCAAGGATTGCTAGATGCCTTCAGGATCAATTCTCCATGTCTTCCTTTACACAAAACCCAACTGTGCTCTAGCCTCCTCTCCTACCACCTGACCCGGGTAGTGTAAACACTGACAGTGTTCTGTTGTAATGCAGGTGCCTGACTTAAGCTTTGATTCCTGAGGCTTCCATTTCAGAGAGGCATCCATTTCAGACACAACTCAATAGTACTCCCCAGACTGAGGCTCTTTGGATTCAGAAATCTTGATTGATTTCATTAACTGACCTTTCGGGCCACTAGTTTTCCTTGCTTTAAATTCCTGCTCTTTTGTCTCATTTTTAAAATTTAAAAAGTGTTTGTTTATTTTAGAGAGAGGGCATGTGCAAACGGGAGGGACAGAGAGAGGCGGGGGGAGAGAGAGAATTCCCAAGCAGGCACTGTCAGTGCAGAGCCTGACACAGGGCTTGGTCCCACAAACCCTGAGATCGAGACCTGTGCCGAAATGGAGGGTTAGACGCTTAACTGACTGAGCCACCCAGGTGTCCCTGCTCTTATACTTTATATTCACCAACAAGGTGTGAAACTGGGCAACCCTAGGCCTCCCCCCTCACCACCCCCCCACCCGGCCCAGTAAAAGCAGAAACCCCCTGCCTGTGCATGCTCTCTCCACCTGAGCCTTTGCCATGTGGTCCTAGATGTCAGTGGGTAATTTTCAGATCTTGAAAGTAATAAACGGGGCGCCTGGGTGGTTCAGTCAGTTAAGGGTCCACCTTCAGCTCAGGTCGTGATCTCGTCATCCGTGAGTTTGAGCAGGCCTTGTGCTGACAGCTAAGCTTGGAGCCTGTTTCTGATTCTGTGTCTCCCTCTCTCTTGGCCCCTCTCCTGCTTGCACTCTGTCTCTCTCTCCTTCTCTCAAAAATAAAGTTACAAAAAGTTTAAAAAAAAAAAGGTAATAAACCTTTATTTTTTTCCAAATTTCCTGATGGTTGTTACTGATGGACATCTTGCAGTCATGACGAGAACCACGAGCGCTGGTCCAAGGCCGGGGCCGGCACAGAGCACCCCTCTCACTATGTCCTTTACTTGGCTCCTGGCTGGGGCCACATCTCTCAATCCCTGGGCCTTTGTACGTTTTGATGCTGCTGTCTGAAATGACATACTGTGATTATGTGGTCTGTTAAGACTCTGTGTAGATCCTGTCAAATGAGAAGCCATGCCTGTCACATCCTGGACGCTAAGACTCTCGGTTGTAGAGAGCCCAGTGCTTATCGCATTCACCACTTCCACGTGTGAACAACTTGGGGAGGGGCGGGGTGGGGGGGAGAGAGAGAGAGAGAGAGAGAGAATCCCAAACAGGCTCTGCACTGTCAGCACAGAGTGCGACATGGAGCTTGAACTGACGAACCAGATCACCACCTGAGCTGAAACCAAGAGTTGGACGCTTAACCCACTGAGCCACCCAGACACCCCAGAGACTGTTTCTTATTCCCTTTTTATTTCCAGAGTTCCTACATAATATCTTTATCAATAATATTTGTAATCTAGCAGCATCAGCAATAAAACACAAGTAGGCATTTGATAAGTATTTGCCAAATAAAAGACTATTAGATGGGCTCTGCGGTCAGGGTGTGGAGGCAGAGTTTTCAAGATCTTTCTTTGATTCTATTGATTCCTTATAGTCTGCTCTGCAGCTCCCAGCCACAAGGCTAAAAATGGAGATTGGTTGCTAGGGAAGAAAGGAGAAGAGAAATTTGGCAGCTGGTTAGCAGTCACTGCTACAGACAGCTTCTGAAAGCAGATGGCATTCAAGCTGGCTTTAAACCTGATTCCATCCCATCAAGAAAGTAAGACGTGCTTTACTGTCAGATCAGCATACACAAAAGTGTGGAGGTACAAGTTTGAGGCTACCTTGGGGGACAGAGAGGGTCTGAAGACTCTTTCCTTTAAAATTATGAACCGTCAGAATCAGAGATGGAGGGACAATGAAATTATTCATGCAACATTTATTTGCCCTTCATTCCCCCATCCCTCTGTGGATGTTTTGGTGACCTTTCTAGTTCCCATCATTAGCCTTTCAGAAAGTAGAATTGGAGTAAGTGTCAGAGGTCATAGAATGTTTGCACTATGCGTAAAGTTGACTTGCCTAGTAGATACCTCTCTGACAGCCCCCCATACGACCCAAAATTTCCATGACAGACAAGTTCTTTTGAGTCATTCCCAGCCAGTAAAATTCCCATCCCCATAGTAATGAGGGCGGGGGTGATAAGATTGGGAAAGGGAAGTAGAAAACAGTAGTTGCTGGAAGCCTGTGTGGGAATTCATGCTGCTGATACTGTCCGTGTACCCTGGCCACGTTAGCTCCTTGCTAAAGGTTAAAGGCCTGCCTGGCTTGCTTAGCACTACCCACACAAGTGGTTCTAGAACCATGCCTTCCCTTCCCTTACTGTCTCGCATCAAGTAGATGTAATCTTCCATTTCCAGGAACGGTAACTTGACCAGTTTATGTCCGTACTGCTTTGTTGTGCCTTGATACATCATGATTTCTCTTTACTCAGTATTTACCCCTATTTCCCTCATTCCAGAGATGATCACGCCTGTATATCATCACAAGGATCAAATGCTTTTGCTTTCATTTTGATGTCTAGCATTTTATGAGAAGCTGGGTTTGTTTCATTGAGTAGAGAGTAAATCATTAATTTGGAGAAAGAATTTTGAATTCAGAGCATGTGTGTCATGATTTAAGGCTTTAAGCTGTCTGGTAAATAAAGTGACAAAATTTTAGAAATTAAAATTTTTTATTAAAACACTGCCTTTCTCCAGTATTCATATACGTGAAACACCTTAACCAAGTTATTGCTTGATTTTATGGTATAAATAACATACAAGAGTGAAGTTCTGGATTTGTCATATCTTCTAGGTAGAGATAAGACCACTCATGGTTAGAGCTCTTTGGGGCACCTGGGTGGCTCAGTTAAGCATCAGACTCTTGATTTCAGCTCAGGTCATAATCCCCTGGTTTGTTGGATCAAGCCCCACGTTGGGTTCTGCACTGACAGCACGGAGCCTGCTTGGGATCCCCCCTCCTCCCCAAAATAAATAAACTTAAAAAACTAGAGCCCTTAGAGTAAGTATTGAAATACATGTGTTTAATTGCTTTCAGTCTGGACTTATGATGCCACAGCCCGTCTAGTGACCAGTTAATTATAGGGAGAAACTAGAGGAGCAATGACTTTGGAACTGATGGCTGCCAAGGTCATGATTCTTAGGGCATATCGTGACAGGTAAAGGAGAGAACGTGAACTCCAGAGAAGTTTGCTGACATCCTGACTCACAGAGAGAATGGCCAGGATTCTCACAGTGTTTCTGGGCATTATCTTGGCCTAACTGTTTATGCATAAAAACCTTCTATTCCTTAATTCATTGACGGTTAAGATAAGTTCTGCTCACTTTCTATTCGTGAGAGTTGTGCTTTCTTGGTGATAGCACACCAGGCTCAGGCAGGTCACACCGACACATCTTCTAAGATGATCTGTTAATTGTAAGTGACACCACGCTACCCTGTCCGTGGGAATCGAAAAAGTAGAAGATTGCATAAGAGGAAGGAAGTAACAAGAGAAACATGTTACAGTTGACAATAACAACTCTGTTTTAAAACCAGAAGTCAAAAGAAGCCTTACTTGTATAAACTTGTCATGTGGAGATTTGTGCCTAGATCTTAAGTTATAGTTTGTGGAAAAGAAGAATTAGATTAATCATAATGCTTTCTTTCTTTTTTTTTAGGTAATTTTGTGAGAAAAATATTGCAGCCTGCTTTTCAATTAATAGCCGGTAAAGATGATAGTATTTCAGAGACCACGGGCCATGAATTTTCCCATTTTTCTGAAACACCAATTAAATCAGGAATTTCCTCTGACAAAATGTCTCCAGATAAGGGTGGAGGAGAGAGTTGGACACTGAATTCAGAGGCACCGGAGAGGCTGGGGTCAGCTAAGCAAAGCAGTCCTGATCTTTCATTTTTAGTTGTGAAGACTAACACAGGAGAAAAGCAACTTTTTGTAGACCTGGGTGAGTAAGACTGTCAGCCGTCTGTCAGACTGTCCCTGTGTACTTCTCTGAGAGACCACTCAGTGCCCATTTGTTCCCCTGCTTGGGATTCTCGTCTCCCTCTCTCTGCCCCTCCCCCACTTGTGCTCTATCTCTCTCAAAATCAGTAAATAAAATTAAAAATAAAGGATGAAATAAATGTTACAAACAGACACAATATAAATAATGGTACTTTTATGTGGCAAAATGAGGCGGTGTTTTCTCTGAAAAGCTTTGCCGTTAGTGGCCGCGGCCATTTCCTCCGCCTTCTTACTGTGGTCAAACTGGTGACCGCTTTAACTGTGCTCTCTCCTACCCCACCTGCTTCTGGTCGGTGACCCTGAGGGTGTGTGAAGCCCTGGGCAAGACTGCAGCCTGGTTAGGTAACACGAAGGCCGTTCAGGACCCATTCGGCCAGCTCCAGTCTGGTGAAAGAAGCCTCGTTTAAGAAAAAAAAAAATTATTAACGTTTATTTATTTTTTGGGGTGGGGGGAGCGCACGCGCATGCACATAAACCAGAAAGGGGCAGAGAGAGAGGCAGACACAGAATCCGAAGCAGGCTCTAGGCTCTGAGCTGTCAGCATAGAGCCCCTCGGGGCTCGAACCCATGAACTGTGAGATCATGACCTGAGCTGAAGTCGGTCGCTTAACTGAGTCACCCAGGCACCCCTAAGCCTCATATTTATATTGTGGTCTCAGCCTGTTATTCGAAAGCCGTGAAGAGCACGTTTTCGCGTTGCTGTCAGAGCAGCTGAGAGAGCTTCAGGGCCTACAGGCCAAGGGAAATTAGGTTTAACTTGTAGGCAGGATTATCAGGGCAGCCAGCCAGGCCAAGAGAGGGGCAGTGTTCCTGCTCTGTTCTGTATCTTTCTAGCTACCCTGACAGCCCAGTGCCCAAATTTGGAAATGTAGTCAGATAAGGGCAATGCCGTGGTTTGGGTGTGATCAAGCATGAGCTAGAAGTAGAGGAGCGTTCTTCCAAATGACAAGCTTTGTCTTGTTAGCAGAATGTTTTCTCCAGGCTGTGCTGGCAGGCAGTGTAATAGGGAGACTGGTGAACAGGCAGTGACTCGGGGCAGTGGGGATTGGGGGGCAGCAGTAGTTGATCTCTGTGCTCTACCTCTACCCCAGGAAAAGACATAAACAGAATACCCCAGTTCATGACAATTAGCCTTAAAAGTTTGTTTCCTGAACTAGCAAGGAAATTTCTATGATATGCTTGAAAGAAATATTTCAAGTTTAACCTAGAATTATTTATGTAGCAAAGAGGACATTATTTAAGGCAACTTTTGAAAAGGTCAGAGATTTAACAGTGCATGCCATAGTTTTTTGAGGAAACTTTTTTATTGAAGTATTAAGTTCAAACAGAACCATGAGTGATTTGTGAGTGCGCAGGTCAGTGAATTGTCACAAAATGAACATGCCCTTGTCACAACATCACCCTAGACAAGAAATAGAAAGTTATCAAGATTCCAGAATCTCCTCCATGTTTCTTCTAAGGAGTACCCTTTCTCCTCCCCACAGGTAACCACTAATCCATCCTCTAATACCATAGATTAGCTTTGCCTATTTCTGAACTTTAAAAAAAAATATTTATTTTGAGAGAGAGCATGCTCAATCAAGGGAGGGACAGAGAGAGAGGGCCAGGGAGAGACTCCTAGGTAGGCTCTGTGCGGTCAGCACAGAGCCCAATGTGGGGCTCGAACTCACAAACTGAGATCATGACCTGAGCTGAAATCAAGAGGCAGATGCTTAACCAACTGAGCCACCCAGGCACCCCTGAAATTTTTATCATTGAAATCATGTAGTACTTGAGGCTTGCCTTTTAATTCTCTTATTGGTGTCTATGATGAATAAAAATAACTTTAAATAGTAGTAGCTGATTTATCAAATGTTGACCTCTTAGTGCTTCTTGTATCTTGTCAAATCTTTTTGCTTTCTCCAATTATGAAGATATTCTCCTGGTTATTTTCTAGGAGACTTATATTTTTACCTTTTATACTTAGATCTACAGTTCACGTGGAATTGATTTTTGCTTATTGTCTGAAGAGGAGTCAAGATTGTTTTGCTTCCTATATGAATATCCATTTGTCCCAACACTATTGAAATGATTGTCCTTTACCTAAAAGGACATCTTTGTCATAAGTCAAGTGTCTATATATTTGGTCTTTTTCTGGATTACGTTCTGTTCCATTGTTGTATTGATCTATTTTGTACCAATACTACTACTATCTTAATGTAGCTTTATTTCTTTTTTTTTACTCAAAAAAATATTTTTATTAGGGGCGCCTGGGTGGTTCAGTTGGTTAAGCGTCCGACTTTGGTTCAGCTCATGATCTTATAGTTCACAAGTTCGAGCCCCACATCAGGCTCTGTGGGGCTGCTTTCTGACAGCTCAGAGCCTGGACCCTGCTTCAGATCTGTGTCTCCCTCTCTCTCTGCCCCTCCTCCACTTGTGCTCTCTCCATCTATCAAAAATTTTAAAAAAACATTTTAAAAATAAAAATTTTTATTAGAGTGTGTGTGCTCGTGGAGGAGAGGAGGAGAGAGAATCTTAAGCAGACCCCATGCACAGCATGGAGCCCGATGTGAAGCTCGATCCCACGACTCTGGGATCATGACATGAGCCAAAATCAAAAGTCAGATGGATGTTCAACTGACTGAGCCACCCAGGTGCCCCTTAATGTGCCTTTTAAAAAGGCTTGATATCCAGTGGGATAAGCCCACCAACTTTGTTCTTTGCAATTTCTTGGCTGTTCTTGACTGTTTGCACTTCTGTTTAAATTTTAAAATCAACTTATCAGGTTACACACTGCTAGAATTTTGATTTAGTTTCCATTGAATCTATAGATCAACTTGGAGAGAATTGACTTTTTTAGTTTTTAGTGTTCCACTTCATGAACATGGTTTGTCGTTCCACTCACATAGATGTTCTCTAATTTGTCTCTGTGTTTTATAATTTTCTGAATAGAGACCTTGTACATCTTTGGTTAGATTTATTCTAGATACTTGATTTTTTATTTTTTATTTTTTTGGCTTAAACAACAAACATTTATGTCTCACAGTTATGGAGGACAGAAGTGCATGATCAGGTACCAGTGTGGACGGGTTCTGGTGAAGGCCGTGTTCCTGGTTTACAGATCACTGTCTTCTCATTGTATCCTTCCATTGCGTAGAGAGAGCACTACTTGATTTTTTGATGTCTCCCTTCTTTGAGATTTCAGCACTAGAAATCCTCACTGCCTTGGAAGCTCTTCAGTAGTCTCAAACTTTTTTCCCTTAATGGGTTTTCCCAGGTTTTCTATTTATTTATCGTGGGAGGGTTGTCTGCAAATAGTCACATTTTCTATTTCTGGGTGTGGCATTCTTCCAGGCCAACTCTACTCAGTTAAAAAAAAAATTTTTTTTAAATGTTTGTTTATTATTCAGAGACAGAGCATGAGCGGGGGAGGGGCAGAGAGAGGGGGAGACACAGAATCCGAAGAAGGCTCCATGCTCTGAGCTGGCAGCACAGAGCCTGATGTGGGGCTCGAACCCACAAACTGTGAGATCATGACCTGAGCCGAAGTCAGACGCTCACCGACTGAGTTACCCAGGCGCCAATGGGCCAACGCTAATTTATACATGGCTTTTGTTTACAGCTGGTAGAAAATAATTCTTTTTCTCATTTTTATTTTTGTTTATGTGAAGGTGACTTTTTCTTCATCTTCATTTTTTCAATTGAAGTATAATTGATATACCACGTTTCATCAGTTTCTGGTGTACAACATAATGATATTTGCACATATTGCAAAATGATCACCACAGTAACTAATTAACTTCCATCACCATACATAGTTACAGAATTGTTTTTCAAAGGAGAATTTCTAAGATGTACCCTCTTAGCAACTTTCAAATAGGCAATACAGTGTTACTATATTTGCCGTGCTCTACGTCATATCCCCATGACCTATTTATAACTGAAGTTTGTGTCTTTTCATTCTCTTTACCCACTGGCTCACCCCCACCTCCCTACCTCCCCACCTCAAGCAACTACCAGTCTGTTCTCTGTAGTTATTACCTTGTGTTTTTATGTTAATTTTTTAGATTCTATATATAAGCAATATGGTATTTGTCCTTCCCTGTCTGACTTATTTCACTTAGCATAATGCCCTGAAGGTCCATCTGTGTTGTTGCAAATGGCAGGATTTTCTCTCTCTCTTTTTTTTAAATGGTTAAATAATACTCCATTTTATAGATGTGTAGGTTGTTTCCATAGCTTGGCTATTGTAATTAATGCTGCAGTGAATATGGCGACGCACCTATCTTTTTGGATTAGAGTTTTTATTTTCTTCAGATAAATACCCAGAAGTGGAATTACTGGATCATGTGGCAGTTCTATTTTTAATTGTTTTGAAGAACTTCCATACTCTTTCCCCAGTGGTTGCACCAGTTTACATTCCCATCAGTGGTGCAAGAGGGTTCCTTTTTCTCTGTATCCTCACCAACACTTGTTATTTCTTTTTTTTTTAATTTTTAAAAATTTTTAATAGTTTATTGTCATGTTGGTTTCCATATAACACCCAGTGCTCATCCCGACAAGTGCCCTCCTCCATGCCCATCACCCACTTCCCCTCTCCCCCACCCCATCAGTCCTTAGTTTGTTCTCAGCATTCAAGGGTCTCTCATGGTTTGCCTCCCTCCCTCTCCCCCACTATTTTCCCCCTTCTTCCCCCCCAC